GCCGGGACTAGGCTGGGGCCGGGCAGGGGATGGGGCTGGGCAGGGCAGCCATGGGGGCTTCTCCCGCAGCTCCCCCTACCCAGGATGAGGCAGGCATGGCTGAAGAAGTCGCGGGAGAACCTGCAGTCACCCAGCTGTACCTGCCTTGCCCTGGCCGATCTGCATCACTGAATCTCTCTGAATCTTCTGAAGCTGATTTGGCTAAATCAATTCAGGACATTGATCCAAATCTCCAAATCGAATCACTGTCCTCTGAATCAACCGAATCCAAATCAAATACTTCCCCATTTGCACAGGCTTAGTACTTAGCCAAGATGGGTTTTATTAAAATTTCTTTGTGTTTTTCTTTCCTAAAGTGGTCAATGGGAATATTCAGAGTGTCTAAAGATAAGCATATATAGAAGGTCCTTGAAGGATCAGGACTTCAATTTCCCAACTCGGAACTCATAGATTGATTTCATTAAAAAAATACAGTACTCAAACTGTGAGTGGTCAGGGGCGTATTCACTTCTTTGACTTGTAAATGGAAATTTTCCAATTTAGAGCCACCAATTCGGACAGAAATATTCTATTTCTAGTACCGCTTTGTTGGAAATTCCAGTAGGTAGGTAGGATGGTTTTGTCTGCCAGATCTAAGAAAATTGTATTTGTATTCCTTTTTATACAAAGAAGTGGTTGGCAAGTTTCCTGAATATTTATTGACTTATACATTAAATAATGGAAGTGTGTTATAAACTAAAAAATAACAGTCAGACATTTTCTATCAACGTTGGAGAAATGTGTGAGTTGAAAATTGCTATGGCATGTGTTGTATTATGTGAATGGAAATCTTGTGTTCAATATGCTTCATTTTATTTTATTCTTTGTCGCTTTGTATTCCGCTACAAATTACTTGAAATGAAGTGTAACTATGACTTATTTTAGTCAGTATGAAGTTTATAAAAATACATTATAACTCACTGGGTTGTTTTTATACATTTATATCTTTAAAAAAATATCAGGTTCCAGGTTGAAATGTTTCATGCTTGCCTTCTGCCCCAAGTGAATTATTTTATATGAAAATTAGATACAATGGTCTTTAATTGTTTTTTTTTTGCTGTAAGTAGATGACAAATATATACATTTTTACTTATTAATAAAGTGACTGCCGCATTTTCACACACTAACTTTAATTCATCTGGACTTTGAAATCTGGCGCTTTCTTATCCTTCCTTTCTCATGCTTAGATATCACAGGCTGTCACTCTCGCTGCATGTGTGTGCAGGGAATGTGGGAGTATAAGGACCCACCTTATTCCCTTGTACTTGCAACCTGAATCTTGTGTGATCTGTAGCTTCCCTCCTCTCATGCCCTGGCTCTACCTCCCTCAGTCTTCCTATATCAGGAAAGTTTGAGTAGTCTGCACTTACACCTGCAAAGTGCATGGCTGTAAAAATGTTAATACAAATACACATTAACCATGGGCAGACCCAAGATTTTGTGAAGGGGGAATGGGAGCAGTAACTGCCACTGCAGGGGAGGTTCTGGCCCCAGCTCCAGGCTTTCCCCACTATAGATCGGAGCAGTAATGGAGACTTTTTTTAAGTCTCAAATCAGGTAAAAATTCCATCCCCCCTTCCACCTCACCCCAACTCTTGGCACACTTTTTCTTGCCCTCCATCTTCATTAGCATGTCCCCTCCCTTCCCATTTGCTCCCTCCTCCCCCTGCTGCTGCTGCTGCCCCCAACTGATTAGCAGGAGAAGGTAAGGAGCTCCAGAGCTGCTCCTTCCCTGCTCCAAGCATGCTTAATGTATGACAGCAGCAGCAGGCAGGTTCTTTCCCTCTGCCTGATCCCCCTGGGTGATCCATGCCAGCCCAGAACCAAGCAGGGAGAGCACTGCTGCTGTCACCTGCCGGGCCCAGATGCAGCAGCTCTGGAACCACTCCCCCGCCAATCTACAACTCTCCCAATTCATTTTATGCTAACTTCAGAAATGTTACTGTAGGAAAGTTGTTACTCAGCAGCCTTCCTACCCAGTAATACAGGAAGCAAAACCACATCACTGCATTGCTCTGGTAACTCAGTGGGTTCTGTGGAACCATGCTTGGTAAAGTTTAGGCTTTCAGATTTTCATGAAATTAACCCAAATGTCCCAAGACTGCATCTCAGCCTGCGCGATCGGGAACTTCTACAACAGTACTTTCTGTTGGGACCAGGGAACCATCTGCCATTAGCATGAAGTGGACAGGAGACACTCAGCCTGCAATTATGAAGGTTGCTCATACAAGTGTTTGGAATGAGCACACATCTGTCTCTAAATAAAATGCCAACTCCAGCAATTAGGCCTGGCCTTCCGACAACGGGAACAAAAGCAAACCAAAATATTCAGCTCCTGAAGACTGGAGGGAGGACTGAGATAAATAAAGCTATATGTCTTTACACTCTTGCAAAGCAGTAGTATAAAATGGAGACAAAGGCAGATCCAAAGGGGTGCAGTGGTCACACCCCACTTCCACAGTGTTGGTTATGTGTGAGGCACAACAGGTCCCCACAGCCCTAGACACCTGAGCCACCTGCAGTGCCCTAGATGCAGTATCGGTACCTGGATTATACCGCCTCTCCACTTTCTGCTCATTCCGCTATGTTGGTGGAACCTCCTCTAGCTATCTCTTTAGTGTTATGCAAGCTTTAGACCGGTTGTTCTCAAACATTTTAGACTCAAGGCACCCTTCTTGTTAAAATGCCAGCTCCTGATTTTTATTTGTTTTTTGACTAAAGAAAAGTAATAAAAAAAATCTTCTGTTGCAAAAAACTCAAAAAGACCACAACAGGTTTTCATCACTATGGGTTCCTTTAAAATCTCTGGGTTTGTCTTGTAAATCATATTTGCGCAGTCTGTTAACAGTCTTAATACTGAGTAGCACCCTGCAGCATCCTTGAATTTCAAGACATCCCAGAATGCTGCAGCACCCTGATTGAGACTCATTGGTTTACACTAACAGGGTGCATCTACACATGCTATTGTCATGGAGCAATAAATTCTGGCACAGTTTGCACTGGAGTTTATTGCTCCCGGGCACAGTGTTTACACATGTGCCCAGGACACAGTGTGTTCAGCCAGGGCAGTGCAGCCTCTTCTGGTAGGGAGCCTGGGAGCTCAGCTTGCTAGCCCAGAGCTGCTCCACCCAGGTCAGCATGCTGCAGAATGGCTGGCTGGGGCACAAGGGTGCTATAGTATAGGGCTAGCTAGCAGGCAGCCCCTGCACTATAGCACCCACATGCACCAGCCAGTCCCAGTCACCATCTAGATGTGCACTGTGGTGGAGTAAATAACTCCACTGTAGAATAGCACTTGTGTTAGGCAATACTAACCTATGGCAGAGTTAAGTAATTTATTTCGGCCTAATAATGACACACATATACAGTCATGAACGACGCATGCCCCCAGAGGGTGGTGGGGCATGGTGACTGCCTGCAGGCAGCAGTGGCAGTGGTGGGGGCGAGCTACCGGAGGGAGCCACGGCGGTGTTGGCGGCTGGGGTGGTGGTGAGTGCTGACCACCTGCAGACGCTGCCAGCAGCGTCAGCCAGCAGCGATTGGCAACTGCCTGCAAACACTGCTGGTGGTGGTGGTGGCGGGGGTGTGGGGAGCAGCGACCGCCCACTGACAGCATCAGCGGCACTTCTCTGGGGGGGTGCACCACCAATCTTGCATCGCCAATATATATGGTGACACTTTACTTGAAGCTAATTAGTGAACTTTACAGTAAAGTGTAGTTGCCCCCACAAAGACAGAAAGCAGGACAGAGTAGCACCTTACAGTCTAACTAATTTAGAGAGAAATAAGCTTTCAAAAGCAAAAAGCTTACTTCATCATATGCTATGAAGGAACACAAAGTCATTGAAACAGGAAACACTAACTGAGCTAAAGGTAGACAATAAACTAAAGCAATCTCAGTGTCTTGGATACAAAGCGTAATCATTGTTGCACTTTAAATGATTGGTGTTAGTCTGAATTTTAACTATTATTTAAAAAGATATCATTTGAAGACTATGAAGTACATTGCATCTTAAGGATTTACTAGGTGCATGCATCTCCATAAGACATTTACTGCAGAGTAGACTAATTAGCTCTGCAGTAAACATCTCAGTGTCTATACATGCAGGGCTATTAGGCTGGATTAAACTAATAAACTCCACAACAGCTAAACAGAAGTACTACCTTACTGTAGAGTTTTTTTTACTGTGCACCAGCACATGTGTAGATGCTGATGTAGCTGGCTGGAGCATAAGGGTGCTTCAGTGGAGGGGCTGCCCCACAGTGGAGCACCCTCATGGCCCAGCCAGCCTCACTGCAGCACATTGCGCTAGGTCTGCACAGCCCCAGTGTCACAGGTTGAACCCCTAGCTCCCCCTACTGCTCTAACCTGGCTCAAGTGCTGTAGTCCTAGGTGCCCACACAGACGCAGCACCCAGGAGCAGTAAACTCCAGCATGAGAAGATGCACACATTGTGTCTTAATATGCTGCCATGGTAAAGATTTCAGGCAATATGAGATTTTGCTGCTCCAATCAGCAGTTTGTGAATTTATGCCAATAAATATTTAAGTTGGTTAAATAGAGGTCTCCCCCTTGATGTTTTAGCCATTGTAAGCATTTTACTAAATTAAAAACTTTCTTTTCTTAAAATTCAGAAAATTAAATAGAAATGGTTGTGTTAATAAAACATCGTGTTAGTACTGCTAATGTCAGAAAGAAATGTCAGTGAATTCTTAAATTAATGTACCATAAGCAATGTTAACTCAGCCTCATTAACCATATATTTAATATTTCTGATCTTGGTTTTCTGGTTGATTATGTTGTTTAATATATTACTATTTTATGCCACCTAACTTATGCTGTAAAATACACAAGATGTGCAGAATTAATGTTCTTTCTGGAAATTTTACTTTTGGGTGTTGGATGACTTCATCTGCAGTCTTGTTGCATTAACATTATTTTCATTTCACTACTATTTTAGGATCAAGAGGCAGCTGTCTTTGGTAGACGTAAGAAAAGGTTTTTTTGGCCATCTTACAAGGTATGTGCAGATGTTCACCACCCCCAGTCTACAATCATGCAGCTTACATGATTATACATGGGGAGCAGCATGTGCAGACATTTGCTAGCGTCAGGAACCACTCTGGGAACCCAGTATATATACCTGGAGGTGGGCGGGACTGGGTAAGTTAGTTGGTGCATGGTGGAATTTAACAGGTCTGGGGTGGGATTGGTGGGATCGGGACAGGCTGGCAGGTCTGCAGGAGAGGTTGGTAGGTCCGTGGGTGGGGTGGGGTGTCCACCCAGGGGTGGACAGGATGGAGGGGCTATGGGTTAAAAAATAAACTGGTCAAGTTTCAGAGGTAGGAAGAGCACATCCCACGAATGGGGTGAGTAGCTGGGCTTTCCCAGTCTCTGGGCTGCACTCTGAACATATGTAGACATTTCCTAGACTAGGCTAACCCATTCCTTATCTAAGTTAGTTCACCTCTTAAAGTGAATTAATTTAGAGATGGCGAGCCATTTTTTGTCCAGTTTAACCTCCTTAAATATCTGCACAGATTGGCACTTAGATAGACCTAACTGTAGTTAGGTCAATCTTAATGTAATGTCTGAATACACCCATATGCACAAATATCCACGTTATATTTAATGTTTTGAAAAGAATGGAAAATGGACATATAAGCAGGAATTCATATTTTTAACTTCAAGATTCGTAATAAGTTGTTTCTTCAGATGGACCAAGAACATATGGAATCTAAATGCAATATTATATTGTTGGAATAACTACTCAACTATAAAAATATTCATACGTCTAAAACTTGGTCTATTTACATTATTTTCCCAAAGACAGCAAGAGAAGAATAACAAAAAAGTATATCAAATGCACAGGTTGCTGACTAATGTAATCAGGGATTAATGAGACTAAAACAAATTCATTAAGAAAAACAGTCAGCAAACCTGCACCTCTCATCTTCAAAAATGGCATGAAAATAGTCCAGTTAATTAATAATACATAGTTCAATATTGGTGGCAGCCTATAAGTACATACGGGGTGTGCATCAGGAACTGGGAGAACGTCTGTTCACCAGGGTACCCCATGGGAAGACAAGATCTAACAGTCACAAACTTCAGAAAGACTGTTTTAGGCTGGGCATAAGAAAAAAACTTCTTTATGGTCCGAGTCCCCAGAGTCTGGAATAAACTCCCCCAAGAAGTGGTGCAAGCATGTACTCTGGACACTTTTAAGAAACACTTGGATGCCTATCTTGCTGGGATCATTTGACCCCAGCTGACTTCCTGCCCCTTGGACAATGGGCTGGACCCAATGATTGTCCGAGGTCCCTTCCAGCCCTAATGTCTATGAAATATTATAGCAAATTTCTGAACAGCATCTTTTAGTTATTGGTTTTAATTCAATTCAGTTCTTACTGTCTCACGGTATCCAGTAATAAACATGACTGATTTTTTTAAAGTTTGAAGTACAATGGAATGTACAAAAACCAAATCTGAACCTATTACATTTTATGGTGAGTGTGTTGCAAGCCCATATTGGAAAAGCTTATAGAAGCTTACTCTTTTTCAAATATTGAAGCACTAACAGGAGTGAGTTGGTTAATACTGGGCCTGATCCCAAATCCACTGAAGTCAACCACAGCCCTTCTATTGACTCCAATGCGCTTTGATTCAGCTCCATTGTTATCACTTGGAGTCCTGACAGATACTACATTTATGACATGATTAATCTCTTAATTGCAGCATAATTAATAACCCTGCCACACACACAGTCAGTTAATGGCATGATAAAATGAGAAACCAGCCACATGTTCACACACAATGCAAATCAGCCACAAATATATTCCCCATATAACTTGTTCCATATAGAATTTGTCAGTGTAGATGGAGCCTAGGATCCTGATCTTCTGTAACATGGTAGGATGCATAAGTGTTAGAAGCAGGGATCAGATTTTTATCACCCCACTAAATTAACAACTGCCAACTTCCTTGAAAACACAACAAAGCAAAGACCCAACAAAACAAAACAAAAAAAGGCTTTTTTATACAGATGTGGCTTTGGAGTCTATGGTACCAGTACAGGAGTCCAAGGGATGTCTGAGAGCCTGACAGACAGGACATGAGTACCACATTACCTTTCTCAGAAAAAAACCCAAGTGACTAGAAACATGTCCAACATGTTGATGGCCTGGGAGAAAACCTGAAAAGTGGTGATGTTGTCCCTTGACTAAATATGTAACCAAACAATCTGAACACCAAAAGGATGGTCTAAACAGCATTGAACTGGCCAATAGGAATAAGGAAAGAGACTACAATAAAATGCATTCGCTTTAAAAATAAATATTTGAGTCTTTGCTACTGCCTGAATTTCTTCCAAGAAAATCTTGATATCCAGTCCTGAAACCTAATTTAGAAGTTGTTTTTTTTTAATCTAATAACATATGGAGCTTGTGGGGGGAGAAACTGTGATGGTTCAGGTCTCAACTCTGAGAATCAATGATTAAATGTGCTGAAAGCAGCAGGAGTATAAGAATTCAAGTGGAAATATCCTCCCCTTCTTTCTCTCCCTTCCCACCTTCCTCCCCTGCACACCTGAATCCTGGGCTGTAATAATCAGGCTGGTTTGTTGGGCAGCATAATAGCCAGCACAGTCCATAGCTGAGGCTACCTCTGTGTTCTAGCTTTCCTCTCAAAGAGATGCCAACATCTGCCTGAAAGATGAGAAGCCAGGGCCCAGAGCTATTCCCTCAATAGCTCAGGGGATGCAGAAAAGGGCAGCTCTACCTTGTTTTCAAAATGTGCACCTTAAAGGGGCAGGCCCCAGGCAAGGCAAAGGCTATTAATAAAAAAGCCACCCTCCATGCCTTGAGTGATTGTGATAAACATATGGACTTCTCTTTGCTCATTTTGCAATGCAAAATTAAATTAGCAGCTTGAGGGAATCAGAATTTTTTTTTTTAATGAAAAACTTTACTTTGCATGTTCTCTAAATAGATCATATGAGCTCTTTTCCCATTGGAATTTATTTATTTATTGCTGTAGCAGAAAGGGCCTCATTATTGAGACAATTTTGGCAAACCTTCTCTGGTGATTCGGCTGTGTCACCCAATGAAATCCTAGACTATGCTCCAGGAAACTTGTTAAGAGACATTTTCTGCCTTCTAAGACTACATTTGAGAACTTCAGCCATTAGAAACCCAAAGGGTCCCTGGTATCTAAAGGACTTTCGTGAAGGGAAAGCCTGTAATCTTCTGACCTGAGTATATTGTATACTTGTTGATTTTTGAGGAATACAAAACAACTATAATCAGTGACTGGATTTGCAGTCCCTGTTCTCCAAAGGTATTTCCGCTGATCTCAGAGCAATAATTTGGTCCCAGACACTGAGGATAAGCTAAAGTTATCCTGGAAAAACAACCACTTCCCTCCATTTTGATAAAAACACTTCA